CTTAACTTCAAGAAAAGTCCCAGAAAACAGTAAATCTAGTTGTGTGAAGAAAGAACTCATTAGAAAAGAACATATATCTCTATTCATTTGGCAGGTCATTCTCTGTCTTGGTTGAAGTAAATTTTGTGGTTTAAAGAAAAAAAAAAATCAGCCAGAAAATAGATGCCTGAATTATCACATGAGCTGAGGAACAGGACGACCTCTTGGCCCATCCAGCAGGAATCAATGGCCTGGCCTCTCACTTAAGTTACTCAGGGAGTGTGGTGGGGACAGGAAGCAGACTTGATTCATCTAGTGAACCAACAAGGAAATTTGAGCATCTCTGAGAAATTCAAGCAGAAAAACTAGAATTCAGTTAAATGGGAGTTCAGAAACCTGTCCTATGAAGAGGAGGCTAGAAGAGTTGACATTATTTATTCAAGATATAAGAAAATGAAGAAAAGTTCCTGCCATTTAGATGGGAGGATTTTAAGACGGGGTTGCATTGATCGTCCTTTCTCAGAAAGATGGTTTTGTAAGCATTAGGCTTTACTCTATAATTCCTTGATTGTCATGATAAAAAGCCACTGCAGTTGGTTAGTGAGAAAATCTATGTAGTGATTTTTTTTCCTTTTGTTTTGTTTTCTTTCTTTCTTTCTTTCTTAAAAATTGTCAACAGACGATAAACAACTTTCTGCCTCAGTCGGTTAAGTGTCTGCCTTTGGTTCAGGTCATGATCTCAGGGTCCTGGGAGGGAGCCCTGCATTGAGCTCTCCCTTCAGCGGCAAGTTTGCTTCTCCCCTCCCTCTGGGATCTCTCTTGCTTTCACTCTCTCTCAAATAAAAAAATATAATCTTAAAAAAAGAAAAGAAAAGAAAAAAGAAAAGACCTTGGAGGGAATGAAGCTAGCTGGAACAGAACTTAGGTCTCAGGTCTTAAACGCCTATTGTAGTTGAAAGGGAATGACAGCCAGTGTGGCCGTGTGACTGAAAAAACTCAGGCAGGCCCTTTTGCGAACTTGTAAGGCAGTTTCACTTTAGAGCTGCTCGCTTTGTCATTCTTGATTTTGACGGCGCTCTACTTATCTGCTTGAAGATGCTCAAAATGTCACTTAGGCTTCTTCCTGTAAATATTGTCATGCCACCCAACTCACTGTACAATATCGTCTGACCAGAAATAAAACATTTCTCTTTGTAGATCGTTTCTGTCACTGTTGGTTCTCCAAGAACCATCTCCTCTTCTGTGATGGGCGGTGACATTACTGTTGTCCCTCGGAAACCCACTTTCTCACACTGACAGGTCACCGTGTTTATAATTTCCAATGTAAAGGGTTTTCTTGAGGTGCTGCCTATTTCCAGGTTCTCTTTCTCTCTCTCTCTCTTTTTTTTTTTTTTAAAGATTTTGTTTATTTATTTGAGAGAGTGCATGAGCAGGGGGAGGGGCAGAGGGAGAGGGACAAGCAGACTCCATGCCAAGCAGGGAGCCTGATGTGGGACGCAATGCCAGGACCCTGGGATCATGACCTGAGCGGAGGGCAGACGTTTAGCCAACTGAGCCCCCCAGGCGCCCTCCAGAGTATTCTTGATCCAAATACCACCTTATTGAGGAACCGTGAGGATTGAGTAAACCAGTCTGGGTAAAGTTGTTAGTGCTGCCTGGCCCAGCGTAAGCGTCCAGTAAGTGGCCATTCTTACCATTGTTGCCCTGCTGTTTCATGTGTGGCTTCTCTGCTTCCATGTGTTAGCAATGCAAGAGTCTGTGAAAGGAGAGGTGAAGGCGGCCAGTTGGTTGGACCTAGGAGAAGAACGAACCCTATCATGCAGAAAGATTATAGTAACTTCAAAGTCTAGTTTTGGAAAATCTCTTTAAATCTAACCAGTGCAAAATGGAAAACCCCTAAAGAACCAATCTAATTATTGAACTAAATGGAACCATTATGCTGACTTTTACTACAGAAGGCAAGCATAATTTAGAAAATGGGGCATTTTAATTCTCTTTTGTTTTCCAATTAACGCAATTGCTCTAATAGGAGGTACTCGTGCTTGAGTATGTAGGTTCTTTGAGTACATATTTCATATATAATTTCCGTGCCTCTCTCTCTTTCTCTTTCTCACCAAAAAAAACCAAAATCCTCACCTGTTGACATAGGGATCCATTTATTACAATGGTCAGGCTGCCCAGATTATGACCTCAGAGCAAATATCTTCTGCCATCAAAGTGCCCTGAACAGGCCCATAGCACAACTCTACATTCCCTTCCGGCTATAATTAGGATGTTGAAGTAACGGAGCTCTCAGATTTTTGCTGATGCCAGCTTACCACAGCAGACCACATGAATTTACTCTTAGTTGAAATTAGTAAAGAAAATGCCAAGAACATTCATTTTAATTGGTCAACAGTATATGGACCTTTAGTGCCACTGTTTGATGGTCCTGTGTTTCAGATTTCTTTCTGCCACAGCCATCAGCTCATTGTGATGGATATTCTTATTCGCATTTGATTATTCTTTTTATTATTATTTTGATTGTTACGTGATTGCTAATTATTGTTTGAAAAGTTTCGTCCTCTTCTGCTTGTCCTTACCTTATTTAGGTAACAATCTCAGGTGCCCTAATATTTTCTAAATTCCATATAACAGACTGACGTTTTCACATTGGTAAGGAATTGTATTCTCATCAGATGGTCCCTGAGACTGGAAGAGGTGGTGGAAATTTTTTTTTCTTAGATGCTTGCTTTGATGTTGCTATTTCATAGCCAAAAAGAGAAAATGGGTCTTGTGGGTAGCGTGTGGCCGTGGTCGTAATAGGGATGGGGATGGTGACATACCATTGACTCTTTAATGTAAATAGATGTGTTTTCTTCTGTACCGATGGGATCGATTTCCCCCTGGACTCTGGAAAATGTGTGCTTTGTTGCTCTAACATGAAAGAGACTGCATAAAATAGGAGAGAATGGTAAAAAGAGATGTGTAGGTTTTTTAAAATGTGAACTCGGCTATGCTTAAAGGCTCTGGGAGGACCCAGAAAGTTAGGCACTGATTTGAGAATAGGAAATGTGGTCCTTGTCTTTGGAGCTGACATAATACTATTTACTACGGACCATCACAGAAACCTTTTAATTATGTACTATTGCTGCTGGTTTTGTAAAGTGTGACTAGTGGCTGAGGCTCCTTTCCAGGATCCAGCAGTCCTCTCTCCTCACCATGAAGACCAGCTCACGTAGGCCCATGACGGGAGCAGGAGCAAGCTGTTAGGACAGTCTCCTCCATAGAGCTTTCTCTCTTTGGTCAAATTGAAGAGGTTCTTAAATAAATATTAAAATGGGAAATTACTTCCTGCAGAGAGACGATGTTGAAGAAGCAGTTAATGAAGACCAAGAATAGGCTTGCCCAACTAGGGTCACCTGACAAAAACGGAAACAGTTCAGTTACGGGTTTGGTGTCCTTTATTCAAGGAAGACAGTCCGGGATTGGGAGAATGTGGCACCTCACAAATGGTGGAACACCGTGCCTGAACTTGGGGCAGGATCAGGTTTTATGGATCATTACAAGTGGCAACACAAACAGGGCACAGGTGGCCAGGGTTGCATACCTGACCTTATTTAGAAAGGTCAAAGAACAAGAAGGTGAGGAGCCCTGAGTTGGCTTGGTGTTTGGGGATTGGCCGACAAGAAGTCCTGTGCTTCTGGTCAAGGGGCGCGATTACAGGAACTGGAAAGTTCAGTCTGCTGATACGGTGCCATGGGCAAGAGCAGCTCTGTCTTGGGTCTAGAAATTTATTTAAACACTAGAGGCTTTTTCTGTTTTGTTTAGTTTTCCTTTTTAGTAAGTGGGGAATATGTAGGGCTAAAAAAGAAATTTAAGTTAATTACAACAACTAGAAAACCTGAACAATTAAGGATTGAAAAACAGAAATTAGGGAGTGTGTGCAAAACAGAATATTAATAGTTTGTGGTGATATTGAGGTCCACCTATGTGAGTTTAAAATAGCCATTTAAAATTCTTCATTTAAGAAAAATGTTATATCTTTAAATTAATTTGGAAATCTTCGTATTTTTAAAAAACATTATTTAAGGATCAATATCAGGGCTGAAAGAAAATAAAAGTTCTTCCTAATTTTATGAAGTATTGATTTTCTGATTGAAATACCAACTAATTCTCTGTTCCACTCTTAAGGGTAATTATGAGGCTGATGGTAATAATTACTATCATTTCTTGGATGTTAGCCCTAAGCTTGAGGTGGACAAACTATGGCCCATGGCCAAATCCAATCTACCACCTGTTTTTGTAAATAAAGTTTTATTGGAACACAGCCACTCTCATTTGCTTATATATTACTTATGGCTGCTTTCACACTACAAAAAGAGAGTTGAGTCATTGCAACAGAGACTGTATGGCCCTGCCAAACCTACAATATTTACTATATGGCCCTTTACTGAGAAAGTTTGTCAACCTCTGATTTAAGGTAAGCACTATTCATTGCATATACCATGTTATTTAATTCTTACAACATCTCTAGGAAGTCAGTGTCTTATCCTTCTTTTATAGATAATGAAATTGAGGTTTAAAGATGTTAGTGCCTGGTACAGGGACGCCCAATTAAGTGGAAGATTCTGGACGTGAACCCGTGAGGTCTGATTGTAGAGCCTACACTCTGAGTTCCATTTCTTTGCACTCAGGCTTTAGAGAGGTGGTGTGATCACCCTGGTTAACTGGGGGGAAGGCTCTGGAGCCAGACTGAATGCAAATGACCTGGAGCAACAAAGGACTTAACTTCTTTGTGCCTCAGGATATAAATGTCAGCGCACCTTACTGTTATTAACCTCTTGTTTTGTAAATGAGATTCTGAATCTCCAGAAATTCTTTCAAGTTTGCCAGAGACCTGAATTTACAAATGACTACAGCACTGCATTCAGAAGGTAGACAGGCCACACACACTTCAGAGGGATGATGGCTTTTGAAAGGTGAAATCCTGAGTCAAATGTTCAATTTTATTTTTTTTTTTTCTTAATTTTAATTATCAGGTCCTGCACAGACAGCAGTCTCAGCCGGCCAAGGAGAGCTCCCCGCCCAGAGAAGAAGCTCCTCCCCCACCTCCTCCCACGGAAGACAGTTGTGCCAAAAAGCCCCGTTCTCGCACAAAGATCTCCCTGGAAGCCCTGGGGATCCTCCAAAGCTTTATTCATGATGTGGGCCTGTACCCTGATCAGGAAGCCATCCACACGCTTTCTGCGCAGCTGGATCTCCCCAAACACACCATCATCAAGTTCTTCCAGAACCAGCGGTATCACGTGAAGCATCACGGGAAGCTCAAGGAGCACCTGGGCTCCGCGGTGGACGTGGCCGAGTATAAGGACGAGGAGCTGCTGACGGAGTCCGAGGAGAACGACAGCGAAGAAGGCTCAGAGGAGATGTACAAAGTGGAGGCCGAGGAGGAAAATGCCGAAAAGAGCAAGGCGGCGCCTGCTGAAATTGACCAGAGATAATGTGAACTCCTACCAGGCCAAGCAATACGTCGGTCCAAGGATTTTCTGTTTTAATTTCTTTAAAAACATTTCTTCCTTTTTTTTTTTTTTTTGCTTTATTTTATCTTATTTTTGTCTCTTTTTTTGGTCTGTTTTGTTTTTCTTACCTTTTTTGACATTTCTTCGTTGCACAGGATACACCTATAGACTGAATAAGTTCAGTATTTCCGAATCAGACATCGCCTTGGCAAAGACACTCAAGTGTTACATTTTACAATTGACTGGATCATAATAATTATAATCACAGGAGACTCTGCCTTCATTATCCTTGCACTTAGGGAAGAGACATCAGGCAAGTTCCAGGATGAAAAGATCTACGAAATAAATGAAGGAAGCTACAAGTGTGTGTGTATATGTATATGTATATATCTATATATTTACATATATATATTAAATTGCATGGGACAGAGAACTTTACAATCCGAAAGAATAGACTGTGAAATGAGTTCTTAAAGAAGAGACTTGTTTATGTATTAAAAAAAAAAACAAAAAAAAAAAACCACTTCACAGTGAGTCGCTTTGGCTTTTTGATAAACTGCGGCCTGCTCTCAGGGTGGGGTGACTATTTTTGAATTCCTATTTATTTTCTGTGTTCGTCCCTGATTTTTTTTTTTTTTTAATTCTATGGCTTCCTATCTGGCAGCTTGATGGGTAATTTTTGAGGTATGTATTTAACAAAATAAATCAACACTGCCAAAAAGAAAGAAGAAAGTAAAGTGGAAAAGAAATCAGGGCACCTTAAAATGATACAAGTCAAATTGCTCTTAAGACACAATGCACACTTAAAATGACTCGATATGTTCCGTTATTGAACTTGTCATTCCTGTAGTGAACAGATGCATTTCTGTGGAATTCCAAATGAATAAAACTGTAATTCAGTACAGAGAAAACTTGTCCTTTAAGTGCAGTCTTGATAAAATGACATTTTGACGTTGGACGTATGGAATTCATAGTACGAGCCACATTTTATTGTGAAACTTATTTACCTGTTCGTGGCTTCAGATTTTAAAATTAATAAGCCTGCTCATTTAAAAGTTGTTTGTTGTTGCTGTTTTCTCTTTTTTTTCTTTCTTTCTCTCTTTTTTTTAAAAATAGAAAATAGTTCAATGTAATGTTAAGTTAGAAAAGAAGTCGCTGCCCACTTAAAGGGGTTCCCTCTCCCATAAACCTCCATCCTTCCGTCTCCCAAAAGATGTTTCTTAATTTCTGTTTCACTTGGGGCTTCCTCTTCTTCGTACACATTCCATCCACTTCACCAAACGTCTGTGGTCCCTGCTGTCATGCCTCCTCCCTTCCCCGGTATGGCAGCCTGAACAAGAACCCGTTTTCGAATCATTGTGCAGCTCCAGGCAGTAGAGTAAGCGAAGCGATTTCAGTTGGAATCACCTACTCGTCATAAACGGAAACATCTTCTCAGTTACCTACATAGCGATGCCCTTACGTAAGGCAGAACTAATACCGACTGGCTGTGCAGCGGGACGAGCATTAAAGCTGCAGTCTACTATGGGTCTCCAGACCTCCTGTGGCTTCCTCTCAGAAGCATCACTAGCATTACTTCCCACTTCTCCTTAGAGTAATTGCAAGAGGTGACCTCACCTTCGGGACCCGATCCCTGCTTCGCGCGGCCATCAAACAGTCCCACCTGGTTGGATTTTTTTGGAGTTGTGCTCTCATGCAACCTTGTCAAAGACCTCATGCAATATCACTTTGAAAGTTATTTTCTGTTTACTACACAAGCATTGTAATATAACTGTTAATACTATTTATATATTTGAAAGGTATAAAAGGTAGGAGTTAAAAAAAAACCTCTATGTGTAGATATTAACTCAGAACTTACACTATACAGGGAGAAGACATGTTGCAATACAAGCTAATTCTAGCTGCTCAGTAACCTCTGGAGGTTTGAAAGGGACATTTTCCTGTACTTTTTCAGATAACAATGTCGAAACATTCTCTTGACGCGAGCGTCACGTACCTTTGCAAAAGGATGGTGGTTTGCAGTTAAGGCCTGGGCCCGTCCTTCTGCTTCTGTAGTATGCTGCAGCTTTAATCCGAAAGTCCACGCTTGCTGCTTGCTGATCTCCGAGTTACTCTTTCCAAATTGTCTTCTTACACTGTTGCTGAAGGTCACTCTGTACACGTAATGGAAACTGATTTTGCCAAGCTCTTACAAGGTGGTTCATCTATCGATGGCATCCGCATTTGGTATCTTTTACACTTCAACCAAAAATTTATTAGGTATTTTTCAATGCTAAGTCTTGCCTTTTATTTTTTAATTTCACTGCCGAGTTTGCAGTGATTCTAAGTGAATCTGTGGGCATTTTAGCCTGTGGTCTTGCCAGATCTTTGCGAATTACAATGCATATATGTCTATTTATTCAATATCTGTCATATAATATCTATTTGGAAGAAGAAACTTTCTCTTGTAGTGCCTCTTGACAAAGCACAATTTCCCGCCTTTTTTTTTTTTTGTGAAATGAAAAAAACAAATTGTGTTTTATTGCGGTATCAACAATGTGAATAAGGATTAACATATTGTAAATGTTCTTTTTTCCATGTAAATCAACTATCTTTGTTATCACTAAGTGATAATTAATTTTTAACTTATGTGCATTGTTAGGCTGTTAGAATTTTTTGGTTGTTAAAATAAAACGCATTCAATAAATATGACTTCGTTTGTCAAGTATTTTACTGGGCATTGCTTTCTTTCCCATTTAATTTTTCATGTGCAGTGAGACCCGGTGAGTGTCAGGAAGAGCCAGCTCCCTTATTTTAGAAATAAGGGAGCAGCACCCACAATTACAGATGTTTGTGTCCTGTACGAGGCATGGAGTTAATTGTACGTGGGAATGTGTGTGCATCCCTGTGTGTTTGGAAACGCACGCGTGCTCACATTCGGAGCTGGCAACCGGGAAAGCCATTGCGCCAACGTTTTGTCGTATACAAACAAAACTCAAGTGTATAAAGATATATTTATGGGCTTGCTTCTTTATTTTTCTAGTGAATATTTTCTGTTTATAATTAAAAACCCACAAATGACTGCGTGTCAGGAAACTTTTGGAGCACATATGTCCATGGTTAATGGACATAATAAAAGTCTTTTATATTTAGAGCTGGGGTACCATAATGTGTGCATAGAGGAATGCCGGAAGGATTGATGTATCTGAGAAATGTGTGAAAATGATTTTTTAGAAAGTGCTTACAATGGAAAAAATTGCTCAAAAGACTAAAGTTAGTAAGGAAGGAGCTAGTGCTTAGCTTCAGAACTGGCAAAGAGAAAGTCAATTAAAAAGTGATTTTATTTTCTTTTGATATTGTAAATTGTCTTTGTGTGTGTGTGTGTCTGTGTGTCTGTGTGTTTTGCATTTTCTTGACCTACAGATGTGATTTTTCTTTCCTTTCTTCCTTAGTTTCACTTGCCTTTTTTTTTAGTTAACAGCTCACAGACCATGTAGATAGGTTTTAAGGACGGTTTGTGAATCCTGGATATTTCCAGGAAAGCAGATGGCCTCAAAGCACAGAGTTCTGAAGGTTTCTAAAGAAAAATTAGAGGCTCAAGACAAAGCAAAACACAGTATTTATGCAGATGTAAATGAATTCTGCGTTGGGGTTAAAGACTTGGGAGGAATGCCTTGTGAAAGATAATTGACTTTTAGCACAAATAACTTCTTCATGCACGAGGTTGTGTTTTTACGGGTCCTGCTTCGCCACAGGTCACAAAGTCAAGAGTGCGAGGCTCTGCCCGCAGATGGACTGGCTTTTGCCAGAAGGCAGTCTCTGTGCGAGCAACTTCCATTTCCAAGGAGTGAGAGGTTTCTTGATTCTCTCTGTTAAGTTCTACTGTAACATCTGAGAGCCATCACTCCGTTGGTTGAGTTTTTGTCTTTTTAAAGTTTTTCTTAGAGGAGATCTTTTCCTTTACACTGTTGTTTCCCTTTCTATAAAGATTTAAACAAAGATTTAGAAGTCCCTACATTTTTTTCTAAAGGCCCATTATGGCACAATGAGACAGTAAACGTCTATTAAACATTTCCTCTGTGTCAGATGATTTGCTAGGAACTGAGGTGACAAGGGGAAAATATATGACTTGATGTTCTCCCTTCAAGGAGAACTTATAACTTGTTGGAAAGGTTTAATATAGTCCAGGAAAAGTGAACTAGTCATACATGTGGTTGTCTCCAGACAGAGATTTGTTTGGTGACTGATACAAACGTGCTATGAATTTGGAGAAAGAAATGATAATTATTTGTTAGCTGGGATGGTCTTGAAAGGTGGATCACTTAGCATTGGCTGCATATAATAGGGGGGCGAAGTAATTATGATGCAGACAAGGTAAAAATTTACCTGTTTCTTACAAGAAAGCAATTGCTGAGGTCGGCTGGTTTCATGAAGTTTGTCAGGGACTCACACACACCCAGCTTCGCTTTTACTGGTGTTCCCACGTCCCTTCTTTCTCATGGTCCAAAAAGACTGCTAGAGCTCTCACCATCACACCCACCTTCCAGACACTGAGATGGGAGGAGGAGTAAAGAACGCCATACTCCTTTTCTTTTGTGGAGGCTTCTTCAAGCTGTACACCTGAACGCAAGGGAGACTTGTAAGCGTTTCTAGCTGCTGCATTAACTCCAGAGAGAAGGAGCAATGTGGATATTGGCTAGGCACCTAACAGCCTCTGCCACAGAGGATAAAGGGAAAGATGTTGAGTGTAACTGATAGGAAGATGATAAGGGAAAGACACGTTTGCTCCACTGTTACTCCCTGTACCTTGTACCTTCTCTTTAGTACCCAGAGCTCTTACCCCAGCCAAATCTGAGGATCAGCCCAGGTGTCACTTCTTCCAGGAAGCCCTTCTTGAACTGCTGGGCCAGTGTGCTCACAAATCCTTCTATGCTCATACGGCGCCCAGGTGTCCCACCGTCAGAGGACTGTCACAGAACCTGTGGCACATTGTGGTTGCTGTGGTTGGTGTGGAGTCTTTCTTTGCATTTGTCCATGCAGAGGACAAGGGTAGGTGGGGGAAGTGACACAGGTCCTGTGGAGTGAGGAGGGACAGTGTT